AAATTAAAAAATTTTTAAAAGTATCTTTTATTCTAAATCCCATGTAACTATTCTAAATACATATGTTTCATATATTTTGAAATCCACCCATAATAGAATTATTAAAATAATCACATACATAACTTTAAAGACTTTCTTGTCATTTGCCATAGGAAAAAAAAATTAAAGACATTTTTGAAATGTCCCCACAGACAATTTGGGGGTTACTGGTGATTCAACCAAGGGCCTTTATACTGAATGACATGCCCAGTACTTTTATATATTTTTAAATTTCAAAATAGGGTCTTGTGCTGGGTGTGGTGACACATACCTATAATTCCAGCAGTAGGGAGGCTGAGGCAGGAGGATTGTCACAAGTTCGAGCCCAGCCTGGGCTTCATTGTGAGTTCAAAATCAGCCTGAACTACACAGTGACATCCTATCTCAAAAAACAAACAAACAAACAAACAAACAAAAAAAAATAGCATCTTGCTGAATCACTAAATTACCCAAGCTGGGCTTGAACTTGTGACCCTCCTGCCTCAGCCTCCTAGAGTGCAGGATTAAAGACATGCATCACCATACCAGTTCACATATACCATTTTTCAAAAGGCAATCTTTAAATGGTAACTAGTGGGGCATCAAAATATTTTCTTTTATCTACTAATTCAAAAATAACCCTCTCATCCAGGCACATATGCCTATAACCATCCTACACACACACCCCAGCTACTGAAGAGGCTGAGGCAGGGGGATCAAAAGTTAGAAGTTGGCCTGGGCAACTTATCAAGAACGTCTCAAAATTCTAAAGAAAGGGGTGGAATGTGGCTTGGTAGCTGTGCATTCCTGGGTTCAATCTTTAGTATTTAAAAGAAAATTTTTTTAAACTGCATTCAATTATCGTAACATTCTAGTTACCTGGAAATATCCCCCCAGTACCATTCTGCATCCTGAAGAGGGACGGAACTGTCCTTCATTCCATTTGTAGTTGCTGAAATCATTGGCTTAGGCGGCTTTGGTGGAAGAGCTGTAAGAGAAAAGAGTATTATTTTCTATATGTAAATTATTATGCTTTCTAATTTCCTCAGCCAGGAGCAGCTCATTAACCAATATATAAAGACTGAAATAATTGTCAGTCAAGTTAAATGTTACTTTATATTTAGTTTTGGGCAAAAAAGTTCTTTTGGAACACTTATCAATAACTGCCTGAAAAGTACAACTTTCAGGCTGTTTAGGTTTTTTCCATCTTATAAAATACCAACTTTTAATTCAGCAAAACTTCATTGTGCTAAAAGACAACATGAAACCCTCTCCCGAACAATTCACTCCCGAGGCTATGAAATGACAACTGCAGATGAGGACTACAGCTAACACCACTGTGTACGTGGGGGCTGGGATCCCCACAGGGCAGCCTGGTACAGGACAGATGCCGGGTAAAGGAACGAGGGCTGCGGCACAGGGCTAGGGGGCACCGCACCACGGAGGCCAAGCGCATGAAAGCACAGTACTCAGGGCGGGGTGAGGTCAGAGGGGAGCCTGTGCTTGCACACACACGGCCCTGGGCTCAATCCCCCGCACGAGAAACACAGACAGACAGAAGCATCAGATTCGGTCCTCAGAGGCGGACAGCTTGATGCGCTGGGCAGAGCCAAAGGGGAGTGAAAAAGCTGGGGGAGTGAAGGAGCCTGGTCAGAGACTAGGTACCGAAATAAATAATCTATAAAAATAGTATGAAAAAAAAAAAATAGTATGAAAACAGGACACAGCTTTCTAACAGTCTTCTAAAAGAAGTCACAAACGTGAAAAGATGAAAAATAGAATGAACCCTCTGATACAGACCCGGAATTTCTGAACTCATGAATTTCTAGATATAGATATAGATATTGATATAGATACAAAAGTAAATACAGAACCAAGCACAGCGGCATAAGCCTGCAGTCCAGCACCCTGGGAGACTAAGCAGGAGGACTGCAAGTTCAAATCCTACCTGGTCAACTTAATGACTTAGCAAAACCATGTCTCAAAATAAAAAAGAGCCAAAGGCGCCAGAATTCAATCCCTCATACTATATATATATATATATTTAGAGGAAATACACACATACTCCCTAGCTCTGTTCCCTGAGAGAGGTCCTGGGAGCAACAACACACACACACACACACACACACACACACACACACACACATCTATGCCATATAAAATCCACCCAAATCTTTGTTTCTAATATCATTCTCTACTAAAAGAAACCAAAGCTTTTGGAGAAACAGTGGATTCTAAGGACACCATGGAGCAGATACCAAATAAACCTGGAACGCCATGTTGTCCCAAAAAGTAAGGGAGTGCTCACAAAATGAGGGCCTATGTCAAAAGCACAGAGAAAGGGTTGGTGGTGCAGCTCAGCAATACAGGGTCTGGTGAGCATACGGACATGAAGCCTGGACTGGATTCCAAACACCACCAAAAATGAAAGAAGAAAGAAAGAAGATTGAACAAGAAAGAAAGAAGAGGAGGGGAAGAAGAGAATCAAGTTTGAAGAGAGCATTCTTACCAAATGTGGAACAATGGGAGCATCAATACAAATAATGATAGTAAGAGAATATAACTCATTAAAATATGAATCCAAGTATCTATATGGATCATAAAAAGACAGGTACAGTTCCGAGGTAGAACGTGTGCTCAGCATGTGAACAGCTGTGGGTTCGGTTCCTAGCACCAACTAAGTAACTTAAAGACTGATAAGGAACAAGTATCTCCCCACAAAATGCTTAGTTATAACAAAAGGAAAAAATAGTTTAATAATGGAAAAGCAAGGCTAAATACCAGCATAGCCAAGTAATCAAGGTTAAAATCACAAATAATAGTGAACTCATGGGCCCAAATAGGATGCGCTACAAAGGACACAACAAATGGTGAATATCATGAACAAACATCAGAGAAGTTGGAACTGACAGTCTAAAAATAATTGGCCTCTAATCTTAAAAAAAAAATGTGAAGATCATTAAAGTCAAGGAAAGACTGAGGGACTGTTGCAGACTGAGGAAGACTGAAGAATTATGACCATTAAATGTTCAACATCATTAGTCATTCGAGAAATGCAAATTAAAACAACATTGAGATTCCACCTTACCCCAGTGAGAACGGCTAGCATTAAGAAATCAATCAAAAACAAATGCTGGCAAGGCCGTGGAGAAACAGGAACCCTTCTCCACTGCTGGTGGGAATGCAGACTGGTGAAACCACTGTGGAAATCAGTTTGGAGATTCCTCCGCAAACTAGGACTACAGGTCCCACTCAACCCAGCTATTCCCCTGCTGGGTATTTTCCCAGAAGATCTAAAAACATCA